TCAAGTGACCCTTCTTTCCACAGTTGTAGCACTTTAAATTCTTCTTGATTCTCGACTTCGATCTACCATGTTTGTGATTGTTGCTTTGGCCACGTTCTGTTGATCTCCCTCTCATCGTTGTCAACGCTTCTGCTTGTTACAGATTTACTTGTTTGTCTTCCTTGTTCTTGCGCCGATTTTCTTCTTGTAGAATAGCAACTGTAACGTCATCGAAGACTAGACTGGTGACATTACTGTTTGTCAAGTTGATGATGAGTTGATCATACGAATCCGGTAGACTTTGAAGCAGAAGTTCAGCACGTTCTTGTTCTACTATTTTACAGCTTAAGGATGCAAGCTGAGAAAATAAAGTGTTCAGTGTGTTTAAGTGCTCCGTCACTGAAGTAGATTCTGACATCCGGAGAGTGTACAATTTCCTCTTAAGGAAAATTTTATTGTGCAACGATGTGGCCTCATACAATTTGGTGAGATGATCTCATATCTCCTTAGTTGTCTTCTTCTCCTCGATGCTTGACAATACTTCATTTGCTAATGCTAGATGAAAGTTTTTCATAGCATTCCCATCCATTTCAATCCATTTGTTTTCGTCTGTGAAATCTATCGGCCTTTCACTGATAGCTGCTAGACAACCGTCTTTCCTCAAGATGTCCTTCATCTTCAATTTCCACAGTGAGAAATTTCTCCCATTAAATTTTTCAATATCAAATTTTGTTGCCATAGCTTCTATTACGGATAGCTCCCACTATTTTACTATTGTGAATAGTTCTCTGGAACCTTCAAAGAATGGGTAATACCTTCTTACTTTCTTATGTTGGAGGATCCACCTTTTGGTGGCAACCACAAAGACAATAAGCATATATTACACACTCAAATCTGGCTCGGATACCAATTGTTGCGGAAGACGGCTATTGAATAAAGCAAAATCACAACTGATAATTTGAGAAAATAAAAAAGAAGATAAAAGAGACACAAAATTTAAGTGGAAAACCCCTAAATAATATAGGGTAAAAACCACGGGCAACGATAGAAGAATTTCACTATGAGAAAATAGGAATTACAACCTCTCTCAATCTACCAAGGACAAAACAATGATAATTCTCTCTTGATAAAAAGGAGAAAACAACTCTCAAGAAACTCTCTAAATTCTCTCTAGTATTGGAAGAAAGCTAGAATGCTTTGGGGTGGTTTTGAAGCTAAATGAGCTAGGGTATTTATAGTAAAAGCTTTAAGGACTAATCTTGAAAATACCCTAAATTACAATGACTAAATGTGAGATTTTGCCATGTCATTTTCAACCATTATTAGTGCCAACTATGAACCATGATTGTTTTCAACTTATAATGCATTATGAACCATTATTATGCATTATACAACTATTATTAGTTGTATGACAACTAATAATTTTGCATGACAACTAATATGCTATATATGCTGTCTTTGAGCAGAGCAAGGGAACACAAATTTCAACCGGTGATAACAGGGCTATGAATTTAAGCCCTAAACTGTAAATCCTTAAACCTAAAACCCTAAAACTCTAAATCTAAAAACTAAAACTCTAAATCTAAAAACCTAAACTCTAAACCCTAAAACCCTAAACTCTAATATCAAAACCCTAAACCCTAAATCATTACCCTTAAGGCCTTAAACATAAAACCTTAAACCTTAAACTATAAACCTTAAGCCCTAAAACCCTAAAAACCCTAAAAACAAAACCCTAAACCCTAAAATCATAAACTCATAAACCTTAAAAACCTAAAACTCCAAACACTAAACCTAAAATCTCAAAACCCTAAAACCTTAAACCTTAAACCTTAAACCATTAATCCTAAACCCTAAACCCTTAATCATAAACCATAAACTGTAATACCTTATGCCTGACCACATAGGATGATCCAAATATTCTAAGCGTACGTTAGATTTTAAAGTGAATTGGACAAACCAACCCTAACCATACATACTAAGAGGACATAATTTAAATTTTAAACATAAGGGTGAAATGGTAATTTCACATGCTTTTTATTTCATCGTACATTTTAACAAATTAAACTTACCAATATTTATAATTAATCCTCAATTAGACACATACTAAAGTTCATGTTAATCAAACTTTGTTTATGGAACTAATTGAACATGCTTGTTTAAGAACTAGAACATAAATACTTTAAAACATCCATACAAACAACAAACATTTAGGTGACCCCCATTATGTAATTAGGTATATTAAAGAGTAACTGAACAAGTCTCAGGTAAATTTGATTTAAAACCAATTATTATTAAGGAAACATATACTGGACCATTTTGAACTCGTACAAATATTCTAGAGTCAAACCAGGACTTAAGGTACACTTAAGACCTTTAATGAATCAAATTTTACTATTTTCCAACGAGCCAAAAACATAAGATATTGATCCCTTTTCACGAGAGATTGACCTATTGCAAAAACAATAAGTAAATATCATAAAGATATCTAGGGATCAATCATTTTTCTAGAAAATCACAAAAATGCATATGAACATGCAAGAACATGCCACCAAACTTCCATACAACCGATCCTAGTGTCTATGAACATGCTTGATCATGCTTGAACCACTTAGAACATGTTATAATACATATGTAACCGGCTTCATGACATCATTTAACATAACATACATGAGTTTAGCATCCAAAGTAAATATTTGCATAAATAGTAAACTTAATCACAAATTACCTAGTCATTTTATGTATATTTGATCATTTCTTGCATCTTAATGACCTAGCATATTATGTTCACTTATTGTCACTTATATAAATGATCAAAACACTTTATTAAAGAACATAATAACATTTAATTATCTTAAGCACTAATGAAACAAAAACAACATAAGGGCAACAACATCTTTGTTCATTAATCCAAACTCAAACATGAATTTATAGTTACTAAAAATATCATCAAAAGTTTCTTATTAAACCCAACAAGCCACTTTATTCATTAGTTCCCATAATAAATTCCCTACATTGTTTCAAATTACAACATAGTAACTACGTACACCTTTTAAATGCTAAGGTTTGCTTGACCACCATCAAGTGCTCACTCCACAACTAAAAGTCAGCAACTAATCATCTGTAAAAGTGGTAACAGAAGAGTGTGAGCTACAAGCTTAGTGAATGATTAATCATTCAAACATGATATACAAATAAAGACTAAAGGGAAGTATCATATATGCCATGAAATTCTCACTTATTTTTACTTTAATGTTCATATATCAATGTCATGCCACAATAGTCATAGAATGCATTGGCAATGCACATATAATAAGATTCTTAACATGCTTTAGTTCATCATGTTTATCTAGAAAGGTTATTAATTTATTGAATATTAATTTATGGAGGTTATATTATATTATTATTTGGATTATTAAAAAAATATTAAGGTTGATAAAGTTAGTTAATAATTTAATAATTGTGATATTAATAGTAATAGTATTTTTAAAAAAAATATTAAGTGAAATATTATTAAATTTATTATGAATTATTATTATGTTAGTGTTATTATTAGGATTGATAAATTATAACTAATTTAATTTTTGTGATACTAATATTAGTAATAGTATTAACTTTGAAAATATTAAATAAATTGTGGAAGCTGAATAATACATTAAAAAATACTTTATTAGTTGTCTTAATTTTCACTAAAATGTTTTTCATCACTGATGTAATTATAAAAAATAATAATTTAAATAAAATTAATTTATTAATAAACAAGATATGATGATTAATTAAAAAACAATTCATTTAATACCGTGACATCTTATACATTTAACCGGTGCGATTCATATCAAATTTTAGTTATATGTTTGGGTAAACTTCATGTTTAGTATTTAAATTATCAGTTTTGTTTTGTTTTGTTTTAGCACTCAAACTTTCATTTGTTTCAAAATTATGCCTAACATTTACTCTTTGTTTCATTTTAGTATCTCATCGTTAAAAATTTAACTGTTAGACATGGTGATATTTTTTGTGGATAAATTACATCATTAATTATTTAACTATCTTCTCACTTTTATTTTAGTCACTAAAGTTTTAAAAAATTTAAATTTAACTACTCAACTTTCAAATTGCTCATATTTTAATCACTCTAATTTATTTTATTAATAATTTTTGGGACATGAAATTTATTATTATTATTATTATTATTCATATATAATTATAATAAAAAAATTGAATTTGAAAGTTAGAATGATTAAATTAGGAGTAATTTGAAAATTATGTAATTAAATTTTAAAAAATTAAATGAGAAAATAGTTGAGTGATGAATAATATAATTTACTCATAAAAAGTGTCATGTTGTAACGGTTGCACTAAGTTTTTAAACAACGGGATATTAAAACGAAATAAAAAATAAATATTAGATATGATTTTGAATTAAATAAAAGTTTAAATATTAAAATGAAATAAAATTGATAAGTTATATACTAAACGTGTAATTTACCCTTATTTTTTTCCATTAAAAAAACGAAACGGCAAGACTGAATTCCCAAAAGGCAAGTGTAGAGTACAATACAAGAGATCAAGAGTGAGAATGAGAATGAAACAAAAAGAGAGAGAGAGAGATTCCGCCTACCAGATGGGGATGTTATAAAGTAGACCTTAATATACAAAAAGTGTTAAAAATATTATTTTTTTAATATTTTCGATAAAAAATTATTTTAAAAATTATTTTTTTATCTAAAATATTAATTTTTTTTAATATTTTTTGATAAAGTATCTAATATTAATATTTTTGATAGAAAAATAATATTTTAGATAATATTTTATCAGATATATTAATAAATTAAATAATATTTTTAATAAATTTTTACTAAAAATATTAAAAATAATAATAATATTTCTGATAACGTATAGTAACTGCACGTAATTCTTTCCTACCAGATTCGTCTAAATTTTTTACTCACATTCAAATCTAACTTTCTGGGGTTTCAAGTCCGATACATCCTATATAAAGGGGTCTTAAGGTTTTAGCTTTTTCACAGCAAACTAAAGGAGAGCGGGAGCGGGAGCGAGAGCGAGAGCGAAAGGCAGAGGCAGAAACAGATTGAGAAATATGGGAGGGTGGGCTATTGCAGTGCACGGTGGCGCTGGTGTAGACCCAAATCTCCCTAAAGAACGGCAAGATGAGGCTAACAAACTCCTCACTCGTTGCCTTAATATAGGCATCTGTGCTCTCCGCTCTAACCTCCCCGCCATTGACGTCGTTGAACTCGTTGTATGTACCCTTTTCTTGTTCCCCTTCATTCAGTTAATAAAAAAACCATGCTTTGATCATATTGTTCTTTATAACTATGAATTTATTTCGTTATCATTTCTTTTGGAATTATAAAAATGGGCCTTTTGTGGTAGGTTAGAGAACTGGAAACTGATCCTCTGTTTAACTCCGGGTGTGGATCTGCTCTTACGGAGAAGATAACAGTTGAAATGGAAGCCAGCATTATGGACGGCCCAAAGAGGAGATGCGGTGCCGTTTCCGGCTTAAGCACCGTTAAGAACCCTGTTTCCCTTGCCCGTCTTGTTATGGACAAATCGCCACATTCTTATCTGGCCTTCTCAGGTGCCGAAGAGTTTGCCAAGAAACAGGTTTTTTTTTTTTTACTTTTACTTTTTCCAGTTTTGGTTAATTGTCAATACCTGGAAACCCCCGCTTTTTGGGGAATCTTGGATACTGTTGTCCACGTGTTGGGTAGATTCAGCACACGCTTTCGCCGTGTAAAACCGACAGGGGAGTTTAGGTTTTTAATTAATTGGTTGGATTTTGTGTAGGGCGTCGAGTTGGTAGACAATGAATATTTCATTACGGAAGAGAACGTGGGCATGCTTAAGTTGGCAAAAGAGGCGAACTCGATTCTGGTACGTCTCTCTTGGCTGTAGTTTTCTCGAGAAAAAGACATGGTGTGTGTGGAGCCCATGGCTTACCTTTTTCAACTTCTTATGACCAGTTTGATTACCGTATCCCAACCATTGGCACCTGTGGTGCGGGGGCACCCGTCATGGACAGTCCTTTGCAGATGAACGGGCTCCCCATCAGCGTCTACATCCCGGAGACAGTCGGTTGCGTTGTGGTTGACAAGGAGGGAGGGTGCGCTGCTGCCACCTCCACCGGTGGGCTGATGAACAAGATGACTGGAAGGATCGGTGACTCCCCGCTGATCGGGTCCGGTACCTACGCTTGCGAGCTGTGTGGGGTGTCTTGCACCGGGGAAGGGGAAGCGATCATCCGAAGCACCTTGGCGAGGGAAGTGGCGGCGGTGATGGAGTACAAAGGGTTGAACCTGAACGAGGCAGTAGATTTCGTGATAAAGAATAGGTTGGACGAAGGCAAAGCAGGGCTGATTGCTGTTTCGAGGAATGGAGAGGTTGCTTGTGGGTTTAACACCACCGGAATGTTTAGGGGGTGCGCCACCGAGGAGGGGTTCATGGAGGTTGGTGTGTGGTGAATGTTTGCTCTCTTATGGTTACAATTAAATGTAGTTTGTAATTCAAATGCCTTAATAATAAAGTACAACTTCAATCTTTGATTTTGCATTATCAGTCAATCATAACCTAATTGATGCTTTAGACTACGTTTTCTATAAGATCTTGGTCCTCACAAGTTTCTCAAATGAACATTGAATTGTAGAACCATGATAGTAATATGTAAAATTATATATCAAATAATAGATCTTGTGAAAGATTGCTAGTATTTACTGGTATATGCCGTTGAATGTTCTTTCGGGTAGCAGGAGGGACCAGCATGTCGCGTTGGCCATGCAGGGGCGATTCCTGCTGCGAAATTACACACCACGTGGCTAAAATCACAAAAGAAGATGCCTGCATGCCATCTGGTTGATGTTTGATTGATATTGGAAATGCTGTTGCTCCAAATTTTTACAATAAATACGTAGCAAATTCCTCCAAACTTTACTCATTTAATTTTGCAACCCACATAGCTTACGTATATATATATATTACATCTCTTTCGTCTAAGATTTCCTCCACAGTCCATATTAAGTGGATTTTCGTTATTCTACATCATCTGAAATCTTTAAAACTTTTGACCAGTTACAATCCTCTAACATTATCATTGATAAGTTTATATGATCTATTATAATTAAATTTATTTAATTCGACAACCTATTCTAAAATTGACACAGATATTAAAGATAAAATTCTTTATCATCCTTTTCACTTTACCATCTTCTATCGTCTTCTTTAATTCCTTCTTCTCCATTATCTTCATAAAATCATCAATTATGACTCTTTATCCAAATCCGAAAGATGATAATTAAAATTTTTATTATTTAAATAGTACAAAAATTTTCATTTTCAAGTAAAAATTTCTCCCATAAACCTAAATTTAAAAAAGATAAAATTTTTAATTCTCAACACAATCTTACATATCCAGTTTTAATTAAATCAAAATTTCGTAAAAAAAGGAAAGAAGAGCACTTCTCAATAGAGTTGTAAACAAGCCGAGTCGAGTTCGAGTAAAGTTGAGTTTGACTCGACTCAAAAATTTTAGAATAGAGCTCAACTCGGCTCGAAAGATTACGAGTATAAAATTTTTAAGCTCGACTCAAACTCGAAATCATGAATTGAAACTCGAAATAGGTTGAAATAAAAAAAAATCTTAAACTTAATTTGGTTGAAGTTCAAACTCGAACTTGAATATGAACCTTAAGTACATGAAAACCTTATATTGCATTTAAAAAAAAACTCAACACATAAATGTTAATATTATTAATAATTTTATTTTTTGAAATTAATATATTATTTTTTTTAAATTATTCGCGAGTTTTTCGAACCGAGTATCAGGTAGCTCGTTTAAACTTGGTGAGAACTCAAATCAAGTTTGAGTCAAGTCAAGTCCATTCAAATCGAATATTTATCAAATTATGATCAAATCAAACTCAAATAACTCACAATATATACGATATCATTCACATCCCTACTTCTCGTTATGGGTATGGAAACAGGAAATATCCTAATTTGTAATTCCTAAAATGGTCAACTTTATATGTTGATAATTAATATCCAGTGGAGATGCTTTGGCTTTCTTCTTTATGAAGGAGCATCTCAATTACTTCACCCATCGTCGGTCTCGCGTCTTTACTTTCCTGAACGCATTTCAGAGCCACAGCAACCAGATTTAGCAGCTGAGCCTCATCATATATTCCTTCAAGCTTGGGATCTATTATCTCATGCTTCCTTGTCTCCATCTCTTGGGCACTTCCCAAATGCTCTCTCACCCATGCAACCAACGTTGTTTGCTCTTTTGGACTATCATTATCGGTTACTGAGATTCCCATAGCGGGGCTTCTTCCTGTCACCAACTCCAATAACACTATCCCATAGCTATAGACATCGACTTTGGAGGTGATGGGCAAATTTGACACCCACTCAGGTGCCATATACCCTCTAGTTCCTCGGATTCTCGAGACTATCGAATTCTTAACATCACCTCGATTTAGCAGCCAAGAAAGGCCAAAATCGGACACTTTAGGCTGGAATTTGGAGTCTATGAGAATGTTGTGAGGCTTTATATCACAATGGAGAACCCATTCCAAACATTCTTCATGTAAATAAGCTAAGCCTCTTGCGGTTCCCACGGCAATATCGAATCTCTTTTTCCAATCAAGTGCTTTAAAAGAGAGATTTTCGGCCAGAGATCCATGTTCCATGTACTCGTACACCAGAAGCCTATGTTTTCCTTCCGCACAATACCCCCACATCGTTATTAAGTTCATGTGATTAAGCTTTCCAATGGTGTTCACTTCTGCAAGAAATTCGGCTTCCCCTTGGTTAGGATCGACGAGTCGCTTGATTGCGGCAACTCGACCATCGGACAGTGTGGCCTTGAACACCATTCCTCCTGCTCCTCTTCCAATCTCTTCACAGAAACTATTTGTCGCCTTTTTAAGTTCAGCATAGGTGAAATTTCTGAAGCCAGTTGCAGCGAGAAGGTTGCTTGCCTTCGGACTCGAGTTGCGGCGGGTTCTAATCAGGAAACACCATACAAAGAAAATGGCAAGAAACTCGATTCCTCCAACTGCACATACCGCCCACATTACAAATTCCAATGGCTCATTTTCATGCCTGCCGGAACTTCTGGAATACGTTAGTTCCAAAATCTGCACTTTGTTGGAACATTGCAACTCGGAATCAACAGTAGTGCTATTGTAAAAGGAAAGATTTGCTTTGGGGACTTTCAAGTAGAAATCACAATGGCCATTTCCTCCGCGATTTCCATTCAACAGCTGTGTCTTGGTATAACAATATATACCACCTGGTTGATGAGCTTTAGAAAATCTGAACTGGAAACCCTTGCAACCACACATCTGCGAGCAAATTTTCTCGCAACCCTTTAAAGTGACATTAGAATACATGTTCAAATCATAGCCATAGAATTCAACATTTCGGAGTTTCAAGAAACCGACCTGTTCGGTTTGGTTACAAGAAAGATGAAATTCTGGTTCACATCCAAGAGACCAATCAGACTGATTGCTCATCTTATATCCTGGAATGCAAGAGCATTTCCTGCCAAGATTAGGAGTATAAACGCATATGCTGTTTGGTCCACAAGATCCATGAGCCCTACATGGTAGACGGAAAATTTGCCACGAAATGACCCAAGTTTCTCCATCTTTTTTTAGACTATACAGTCGAATATTGCCATCAAAATCCATCTTCAACATTCTTGAAATCTTTGAGCCATAATCAGCTGACAAGAAAGTAAAATTATCAGTTGAACTAAATTTTCCCAAAGAATCGAGGACGGCGATTTTGCTATTATTGTCAGTGGTTCTTCCAGCTTCCCATCTCAAAAGCGTGGGACTTGGCCAGTAAACGCTTGAATACTCGGTACCTTTGTACAGCAGGCACAGGACATTATCCGGGGCAAAATAAAGATGAAAAAAACCTGATGAGTAATTTCCTTGGCTTCTTGATGACACCAGCTTCGAATTCTCATTGAATGGTTGAAGAGGAAGGAGAGTATCCGTGGGCGAATCGTAGCTTTGCCACAATACATGGCCTTCCAAGTTACGCAGGATGAGATTACCCCCATCTTCAATTGTTAAATTAGTAGGGGACTTGGAGAAAGTTCTGGTTTCCCAAACATTGATCTGACCAGCATCTTTTAAAACAAGGTTACCTGATTTCAGTAGACAGAGCTTTGAGCGTCTTCCATTGACTGGTTGGTCCCGATTCGCCATCCAAACGATGGTGCAGTTTTTAGCAATAGGACTGCAAGATGGTGTGTTGAACCATATCGCAAAGGAATAAGCATTGTCTCCAACAGGGTGGAATCCAGCACTGAAAATGGCACCGGGTGAAGTCAACACATCGCCTGTTTTCTCCACCGATAGAGATGAGCCTGCCCATAGACCATCAGAGGATGAAGATGATGACGAAGGTGGACAAAAGAAAGCCAATAATGAAGCCAGTAGCATTAATGTTGTAGCCATGGTTTTATTTTGTAAAGGTTGAAGACAGGAACACAGCCTTGCGACACAAGTTTTCATTTTAAGAGTTGTGATTAGGTCGAACAATAAATAATAATAGGCAAATAGTAAGGGGGTTTTATTTAGATTAAATTGCAATATTTAACATTTAAGCATCTTCTGACTTGTTAAGGGTGTGAGGGAGTAGGGTAGGGTAGAGAAGGTAGCTTTTATTTCATGGCGGCTAACGGGCAGTTCCAATTTAATTTGTTAGCATCGCAAGTGTTGTTTGAATGGAAAATTGCCATTGCATGTTATGTATGGGCCTATTTCGTTCGTTAACACACGAGAGATTGGGAGATTAACATCATGAACATCAAGATTTGTTTTTTTTTTTTTGGATTTATCGACACCGTTTCTTGCTCGGTCGGAGAAAAAGCGATACCAACTCGAAATTTTCTCTTTTGAAAAGATTTATGAAATGTGAGGAGTCACCACCAATAATTTAAGGTGCGATTGAGACACCATGAAAACATGGTGATTTTAATAAAATATTTTATTTTTACCAAAATACCTAGTTTTAGGTCAACGAAAATTCAGAAATCAGGTTTGGGAGTCAGTTACGCGTGGAGAATGATTAGCACCCCTACAAGTGCCCAAAAATTGGTACATTGTTGATTACCCTATATTTAGAATCACAAATTTTGAGTTCGAGCTTTATTTAATTTAAAAATCATTACGGATGCAAAGTTGAAAAGGGTATTCATTTATTAATGCCAATAGCATTCTCCCCTAGCATAGATGCGGGAGATCAACTATTGTGCCTAATAATCAGACATTGTCTTAATTTTAGAAATCATGATGTGGTCTTGAGAAAGATATTGACCTATTTCGGGAATTACCAGTAGTTATCTCCTGAGCATACTTGCAGGAAATATGCCATTAACTCCCTAATAAGTGAACATTGCCTTTGGTTTTAAAGATAAAACGCAATCAGACAAATTTTTATTCATCATAATTAAGCTAAGGGTAAATTAAAACTTTTTCTAACTTAAAGTGTCGAATTATGAAAATTAAAGAACCTAAAGGCATAAACCTAGAAGTGTAGGTTCTAATATTAATCCTATTTGATTTTAAATCAATTATTGAATCGAATAATCGAGATGGTCCCTCGAGCATTTAGGCGAGAGCCAACTCGTATTATTCCCTAAATTAAAAGACTAATTTGAAATCTAGCCTAAAATGAAGGCTCTAATATTAATTTAAATTAATTTTACGATTCAAATAATTAAATTGGATCCTCGAGTAAAAGTGATGACCAAATTAAGAATTCTCTCAAATTTAATGACTAAATATGGATCGAATAATTAAAAGACTATGGACTAAATAAAAAAAAGTGATCTATCAAGGACTAAAAGGATACAAATATTAAAGACAAATAAAATGTATAAAAGTACTAAAATTAAAGTACTAAAAAATGAAGGGTAAAAAATAAAATAAAAATAAATTAAATGACTAAATTGCATAAACATTAAATTATCAAGCTAAAAATAAATTAGACATGCAATAGGGCTAAATTAAATAAATTGAAATGTAATGGCTAAATCTAAACAAAATAAAAATATAGATTAGGGACAAAATATAAAAACACGTGAAAAATACAGGGACCAAAAGATAATTTTTCCTAAAAATATATAACATGAATAAAAAGGGTAAATCAAAAAAAAGTTCCTACACGTGACTAACATACAAAAACACGCGTAAAGTGGGGGACTAAACAGTAAATATACCGAAAATTACAAAACACAAACAAAAATGGGTAAATTATGAAATAGGTCCATACCAGTGGCTATTTTGTAAAAACGCGCGAAATATTAGGGGACTTCTGCATGATTTTTCCCAAACTTTTTCTATAAATAACAAAATTTTCCTTTTTTTAAAAAATATTTTTCCTTTTTTTCTTTTTAAGAAAAATAGGGAGAGGTTCTCCTCGTTATATAGAAATCCGACCATCATGCCGCCGTCTGGGCTGCTGTCGCGCCGTCGGTGGTCTTTGGCTACCAAAATTCACCAGGAGGCTCGTCCCAACTTTCCCGTCGTCGATCTAGGCTCAATTTTGAACGAAACAGTCTCTAACGTCGTGAAAATGGTTGAGACCCCCTCGACTTCCATCGCCCGCATCTCCGTCGTTCGTCGTTGGATCGGGTCCAAATCAAGGTATGTTAGTCCCAGGGACATACCACACCTTCTCACCATTCGATTCCGTGAACCGACCCTCCAAACGCCAACGACGTGCTCGGACGAAGGTAACTCCCTTTTCCTTCTTTTTTTTCCTGAAAGCTAAAAAAATATAATAAAAAACACCAGTAAAAAATTGCCTTAAAAGTTTCGGGTTTTTTTCCTGTTTTTTAATGATTTTTGAAATGGAAAAGGAACCCATTTTACATAATTTGTTTGGGGTTTTATAACACCTAATTTATAGATTTTTTATAGTTTTTTATATGAAATAACACATAAATGATTTTGTGTGTGGTGCTTGTTTGCTGACTTGAGGTTTTTGTCATGGCAGGGGGCTCGATTGGCGACAAAAACAATGGCAGTCGATTGGTGGAGATAGGTAGCAAACTTGGTTCTCTCCAGTGGCGACTGCGGTTGGTGAAACCATTGATTTGGGTGTTTAGGGTGGATGTTACTCTAAAGTTAGGGTTTGATTTAGGTCAGGTCTGGTTTGGTTTGGGTCGGGTCTAGTTTTGTTCGGGTTGGGTTCGATTTGGGCCTTGAGGCCCGATTATATTTATAAAGAGTTTGGGGTTCTATTTTGGTTTGGGCTTGGGTCTGCTTCTGGGTCGGTTGTGAATAGAAAAATGGTGTTCACAACTGCCCCTATTTGCTCATTGCTATAAAACGGGAATGAAGCAAAGATAATAGATCGCGTTTTTTTACTCAATCTCTGCTCTTCAAGCTGCGGGTTCTTCTTATCATGGTCTTTACGTTGGAAATGTTGATACCTCAAGAAAGGCGTCATTGATTCGAAATGTCGTGAATCGAGCAAAGGTTGAACATATTATTCATTATGAATTCTCTACTGGAAATGTTGATCCCTCGAGTGAGGCGTCGCTGATTCAAAATGTCGTTAACCGAGCAAAAGTAATGTTAATCCCTCGAGTAAGGCTTCACTGATTTAAAATGTCGTGAACTGAGCAAAGGTAATGTTAATCCCTTGAGTGAGGCGTCATTGATTCGAAATGTCGTGAATCTTGCAAAGGAAATGTTAATCCCTCAAGTAAGGCGTAGTTTATTTTATGAAAAATAATCTCAAGTGAGATAAACTTCTTGTTTCAAGTGAAACAATTTCAAATTTTATATTTCAAAGGAAACTTTCTCAAGCGAGATGAAATTTGTTTTAAGAAAAACAATCTTGAGTGAAATGAAATTTCTATTTCGAGTGAAACTATCTAAAGCGATATGAATCTTGTTTTAAGAAAAATAATCTCAAGTGAGATAAATCTTTTGTTTCGAGTGAAACTATCTCAAGCGAGATAAAATTTGTTTTAAGAAAAACAATCTCGAGTGAGATAAATCTTCTATTTCGAGTGAAACTATCTCAAGCTAGATAAAATTTGTTTTAAGAAAAATAATCTCAAGTGAGATAAATCTTCTGTTTTGAGTGAAACTATCTCAAGCGAGATGAATCTTGTTTTAAGAAAAACTATCTTGGGTGAGATAAAATTTTTGTTTCGAGTGAAACTATCTCAAGCGAGATGAATCTTGTTTTAAGAAAAATAATCTGAAGTGAGATAAATCTTCTGTTTCGAGTGAAACTATATCAAGCGAGATAAAATTTTTACTTCGAGTGAAACTATCTCAAGCGAGATGAATCTTGTTTTCAGAAAAACAATCTCAAGTGAGATAAATTTTCTGTTTCGAGTGAAAACTAGCTCAAGCGAGATGAATCTTGTTTTAAGAAAAACAATCTCAAGTGAGATAAATCTTCTGTTTCGAGTGAAATTATCTCAAGCGAGACGAATCTTGTTTTAATAAAAACAATCTCAAGTGAGATAAATTTTCATATTTAGTGAAACCGTCTCAAGCGAGATAATTTTTTTTTTGAAATGTTGAATATGAAGATGATTGCTCCCTCTCGCTGAAGATGACTTTTAATCTCATTCTTTCCTGAAAGATCTGTAAAAATGTATCTAAATGCAACTATCCTGAATGTCCGTATGAGAAGAGAAAATGTCCTTGAAAAATATAGGATTTCAAGAGAAATTTTAATGGTACCCTCGTGAGAGGGGGAAAATTAAAGCTTTTATCGTACATGATGATGGATGTTTGATGCAAAGATGCAAATTCATGTATGTGCGATACATGTTTTTTTACTAATGGCAGTTTAGAGGTGCTTAAGCAATCTTGGTTCTCTTCCTGATATGTTCACATTCATTCTCCTCCCTCACCAAGGTGTACCATTGCATATTTTTACAAAACACTATTTTTCTGGCTCTCTAACATTCAAATTCTTTTCCCCAATTTCTGATTCTAAGTTTCTAGGTCTGAGGGACCTTTGTCAATTTCCAATCTAAACTCTCCAGAAAAATTGTCCTGTTTCAAAATATTTTCTTTCTTTTTATTTTCAAAATATGGAAAGTTTGTTTAAGAGAAATGTCCTTATTTTAGGCTCACGATTGAAGCAAATCACAGAACATGAGTTCACTAAATATCAAAAGAATCAATAACTCTTTTAATATTTTCAAAGTTATAGCTCTTTGAAAAGTGTCAAAATTGATGGGTTGGTTTCAGGTTAGCTCCTTAAAGTTTCTAAGGTTTCAGCCATCAAGATGTCATTTCTTTCTCGGTTCTTCTGAACCTTACGACATGCCCCACTTTTTGACTTGGAATTTTAATCAGATGAGGATAAAATGACGCAACTAGCGTAATCAATTATTAGACTTCTAGCACACTTCTATTTCGGTTCTCTGAAATACTTCATTTGTTCAAGCTTCATAGACTTCCTTTAGCCGAGGTAG